TTCCCTACTGGGAAAGCCAACACAAGGAGCAGTACAGATTCAGTGGGATCTGCAGTGAGACGAAGGTTCTGAGTTTGGCACAATTATTTTCTGCCTTGAGGCTTTAAGGAGTCCTTCTTATACATGCAGATTCCCTGAGGAATTACTTTAAGGCTATGAAAGTAGCAGCATCTTTTCTATACGTACAGACACATTAAACACATAATACTTCATCTAGTTACATAATTTATTCCTCTTAGGGAAATAACTGCTCTCTCACAGGGTGAGAATAAGAGAAGGTGAATTGTTGCTTTTGTGAATCTGTTCTTAACTCCTGACATGTTGATGGATGACTTGAGAGTTTTGGGTGTTTTGGTTTTGATCCTAGCAACAAGCATTCGAATATGAATTTGGAGCAATGTATGCCTGGATGTTGTGTGTGTTCACTGTCATCATGGCCTATAGCATCACGTGTCCCATCATTGTCCCGTTTGGTAAGTTTTTCCAATGAGCTATGTATGGCACTGTGGGAGTGAGATGGGACATATGGGAGGTTTGGAAGGCCCAGCTCTGCATTCTTATTCCAGTTCAAATGCTGATAATCCTTAGGACTTGGATTGAATTTCCTTCCCTTCTTGTGGAAGGAGTACAGAGGATAATGAATTAGTTAGCTCTTGTACTGCCTTGGAAATTGAAAGTTTATTTAATGTCTATTAGATGGTTATTTTATTTCTGAAGTTTGAGAGTACTGGCTCTGGTGGTGGCTTTTAATAGTTAAACTTGAGGTCTGGGTCATCACTGTGCTATGGACAGCTGTGTGCTCCATGGTGCTGACCTTAGAGATGTGACCTAATGAGGCACTGGCTGCTTCGTATGGGACACGGTCTTGTGAACACCCTAGCTGCTCTTGGATGAAAAAGCAAATGCTGGACACTCCAGTAGATTTACTGGCTTAGTAAACCAGTTAAGTAGGAGTTCAGGGCACATGGGTGGAACACAACTGCCCTGTGGTGTAGATGGAGCTGCAGTCCTACAGGACCCTGAGAAGGTCTCCAGATCAGAGTCACAGACTTCCTTTTTCTAGGATGTTTCTGTTGCTCAGTCATCTCTGTCCCATGAACAAAACAATGTTTATGCCTCAAGTTACCTGTATATCTGACTTTGATTGCCTCCTTCCTGTACCAGCCATTAAATGCTGTATGGGTATGCAAGAAACTTAGCAATCTGTCTAGAACTCACGGACAGTTGTCCAGCTTCTAGTGATGTGACATAACCTACATCATATTTTAGTGCATCTTTCATTCACAGGGATTACAGACTGTCATCAGAATTATTTATAAAGAATCAGTTCAGCAGCTATAAATATTTCCACTTGAGATCTGTTTATCAGACATAAGTAGTACTAAATAATTTTATATAGTTAGTATCTTTGTTTTTTAATCCGAAACTTTAGAGAGGTAGATAGAAGATGATTAGCTAAATTAGATATTGTTCAAAACTGACTTAATCAACAACCTTATTATTGGGAGAATGTGGCCAATTTTTTTGCAACAGTGCAATTGATGTTTACTTGCACTTCATTTTGTGTGCAGTTTTAAATATCTGAGTGTGCTACTGCATACCAGAGCTGTTGCAATTTATAGGCTGTCACAGCAGTTCCTGGCTGTTTTTTTAGATAAGGAGTAGCTGACTTGAAGTCCAGTCATGAATCTGTTGAAAGCTGAGAAGGAGACGTTAAGCCAGTGTCAAGAACTTTCTTCCTTACCAATATGGTGGCAGAGGAATCTTCCTTACTGGCTTGGCCTAATGTGTCAGCACTAGAAAGGAGCTCTGGGCTCTCCATGGCAGCATAAGTGGAGTGACAGAAAAATGTGTGGATAGGGGAGATCTCAGGGGTCTTGGGCTGGAGATGCAGCAACCTTAGGAGCAGGTGCTGTCATGCTGCTGACCCCTATTCATATTTGGGCTATATCCACCATTGGTATCTAGATTTTCAGTCGCATGATTAATGTAGATCTGATTGCAGAATTGCTGCTTTTTGTCGAGTCTTCATCAACCTCTCCTTGGCTCTCCTATTTCCCCTTCCAGGTTTAATATACATACTCCTGAAGCACATGGTTGACCGTCATAACCTTTACTATGCCTATCTCCCTGCCAAGCTGGAGAAGAAGATGCACTTTGCAGCTGTGAATCAGGCCCTTGCAGCTCCAATTCTCTGCCTTTTCTGGCTCTATTTTTTCTCATTTTTGCGGCTAGGTAAGTATTACATTTTTCCACCTAGAAACTGCTCCAAACTCTCTTGCCAGCTTACCTAAATTAGATGTGAAGCTTCATAAGCTTTGTGGGCTTTTCTTTTGACTTCCATAAATGGGAAGTCATGGTGGTTACCTCTGGAAGTTTGCATAAGACCCTTTGATGGAGGTAGCCGATGTGTTAACTTAAACTGTTAGGATAGAGCTCCAGATTTCTTCATTTTACAGGAGATCATGTATTCCTTAAATCTGTAGAGTTTGAATTGGCCAGTTGAGCTGTGGAGTGACAGGCAGTAAAAATCATTAAATAAGCCAAAAATCTATTCAGAATTAGCTCTTTGTAGTAAGATGGTCTCTGGCTTTACTACCTGCATTTGTGTAGCCTGTGCATAAGTTTAATTTGCAAATACTTTGCATTGATTGCTTTGGCTGTGTAATTGGTGTACTAACAGGTCTGATGTCAGGAAAGGTAGGTGACAGTTTATGGCTTTATCCATGATACAGGAGGAAGCATTTGGCCTGGAACAGGGATGTGAGTGATGCCACAAGGAGTTGGGTTTCCTTTCTTGGGAAGGAGGCTTCTGATGGCTAACCATATTTTACGCTGGTGACAAGTGACTGTGCTTGCATTGTGTTGTTTCTAGCATACCAGTAGTCAGAAAGGTATTGTTGGCAGGCTGTCATCGAACTTCAGGGGTAGTTAAGGCTATAGGGAAAGCTCCCTGTGGATGTAAGTGGTACTTGGAACTATTCCTTCAGGCTGTCCTTGGATTTAAACAGATGTTCTTGCATTACTTGCATGTTTGAGAGCTTGTTTCTTCCCTTGGTTTAAGAGCTACCTTTGCAACCAGGAACACTAACAAATTTGCATCCTCTTAAGATAACAGGAGAATTTCTAGATCATGCTTTAGAAAAGTCAACTCTAAACACACAGCAATTTAATGCACCTCTTTAATTGTTATGAAGCAAATTCTGGTGTAGTAAAAATTAAATCTTTATAATAATGTCTTCTAATTCTGCATCTTTGGTAAAACCATCATTTGTCATAGATGTTAATAATGGAAAATAGGCTGGATTACTGCATTTGGCTTGCTCTGTGTAGAGGATCCTGTTTACAGCATGTTGTTCAGTGGTTTGTGAGTGCACAGGGCAGTCTGAGAGATAGGAACTTGAGATTTTTATTTCATTGCCATTGATTTCACTGGGGCTTCTTGTGCCAAAGAGAAGGAAGGAAGGGTAAGATTGCTCTGCTTCCTTATCTGAAAAATACATCAGTTTATGGTATAGAGTTTGATTGCTGAGTCGTTGACTTGTACAGTTTGCCTGATATGGATGTTTGTCTTGTTGCAGAGTACAGTGGTAATACTCTGTTTTCTCACTCATAATATTAATGTAAGGCTGGAAGAACCTCTCTCCAGCTTTTAGTCAAGATCAAATACCACCTGACTGCATATAGAAGGTGATAGGCTGCACTGGTGGTGTCTGTTTCCTTCTCAGTCACTGTTTTCTTCCTCGGCTCTCATGCCTTCCATCCATCCATCATACCTGCAGCATCATTGGGCCTCTTGCAACAGAGGAGGGAACAGTATTGTCTGCAGTTCACTCCTGGGATAGTCCCATGTTCTCTGAACCTGTTGGCAGGGAGGAGTGCTGAGGATACAGGACAGGGAAAACTCATCTTGGACACTTTTTCATCCCTAATCTGCTGTTTGCCTTGTGGTTCATGCTGTACTTTGGCTTTGGTGTAGACTTGCCTCCCCAGCTGGTAAATATCCTATGCTTGATAAAAACAATCTCTTTTGAAAGACATTCCAAAATACCCATAGGGAGGGTTTTTTTCACTTCCCTTTTTGGTTTGAATAGTGACATGTTTGTAAGGTTTTTTGGTTTTGTTTTTCACCCGTGTGTGGTGAACAGGTCTGTGCAGGGTTTATATAACCTGCTAAAATGTAAAACTTCTCTGTTCTGTGTTACTGCATATGCTGGGATTACCACAAAAATATTTCAGGGTTGGAGTTGCTTTTTTTTGACTAAAGAAGCTTGGAAACAGCTGGGTTTTGTGGTGGTGTTTATTTTTCTTTATTATTCAAGTCGTCTTTGCTGCAAAATACGATCAATTTCTTCAGAGTATTTCCCCAGTGGACCTGGAGAATAATAAGTCAGTGTAATCATTATAACTTTTTCCATACTAGAGTCTGCATCCATGTCCTTTTGTGTAATTTTAGTGCACTCTGTGCTATAAGTTATCTTTCAGCTTAGTCTTTTTCCTTGGATTCTCCCCAGGTCTGTCCATGTTTTATTGTAGACAAAGCTTCTCAAGTTGAAGTCTCAGTAGCACCAAATTATTTTGTTTGGGTAGCAGAGACTTGCCTCTGTTTTCATTTTCCTCTCTTCCCATGTTCTGGTATGACATCACACTATTGACTGCTTTCCAGCTTGTCATATGCTGCAGCACTACAAGATTGTTATCCCTCAGACTACATTTCATTTTTCTTTCTAAATTATAGTTATTTGCAGTTTTCTACATACAATTTTATCTTGCTGTTTGCTTTTTTGTTTTCATCCTTGAAAGCAGGTAGGGTGGTCTTACTCACCATGATAATTTTGATTCCTCCCCCCCTTGAGCTGTTTGCAAGACATCCAGTTTGGTGCCATTATCATAATTAATAAATGTAATTAATATTACATTTCACAGATCATTAAAGAAAGTATTTTAGGAGTGGGTCCAGGATAGATGACAGAGGGAGGAGGAGAAGAACTGTTCTGAGTCTTGTTTATCATTCAAGTACTGCAGCAACCTTTCTTGGCCTCTAGGAAAGCAGGAAGAACAGCTTGCTCAGCAGTTTTACAAGTCAAGTTGCTTTGTGCATAATGAAGTTCTCCTGTTTGTGGTTGGAAGTGGGCTGCTCAGTCCTCTAAGGAAAGCAAATAATCCACGAGGCTTCTGAAAATGGGGAAGATAAAGTAAAGGTTTGGTTTGGTTTTGTTGGGTTTTTTTTCTGCTATGTATTTTTATATTGTATTCTCTGGATATTTTTCTAGGCTTTAAAGCACCTACAAGCATGTTTACATTCCTAGTTGTCAACATCACAATTGTTATTTGCTTGGCTTACACTTGTTTTGGCTGTTTCAAGTACCTGAGTCCACTGAATTACAAGGTAAGTGATGGATACCTGAAACCTTTCAGCACCTACCTATGTGCTTGATGTAGCACCAGCTGTTCCTGCTGGGTTGTTTGTGCCTTCTCAGTGGCAGCATCTGTTCACAAAGGTTCATTCCAGTAAGATGGCCAAAGAGGGCTTGTAGTAGAGGTAGGCTGCTTGGCACAGTGGAAAGTCTGTCAGTAGCTGAATTTGAGACAAAAGAGCAGCATGGAAGCAGTATCCTGGGCTGCATCAAAGGCAGCATTGGCAGCAGGTTGAGGGAGGTGATTCTGTCCCTCTACTCCACTCCGGTGAGACCCAACCTGAGTGCTGCCTCCACCTCTGGGGCCTTAAGTACAGGAAGGACATGGACCTATAGGAGTGAATCCACAGGAGGCCGTCAAATTAATTAGAGGGATGGAGCACCTCTCCTGTGAGGAAAGGCTGAGAGAATTGGGTTTGTTCAGCCTGGAGAAGAGAAGATGCTTAGGGGTAACTTAATCACAGCCTTCCAGTACCTGAAGGGTGCCTACAAGAAAGATGGAGAGAGACCATTTACAAGGGCCTGTAGTGACAGGACAAAGGGGAATGCTTTCGAACTTAAAGTAGGTTTGGATTAGATATTAGGAAGAAATCCTTTACTGTGAGGGTTATGAGACACTAGCACAGGCTGCCCAGAGAAGCTGTAGATGCTTCATCCCTGGAAGTGTTCAAGACCAGGTTGGATTGGGATTTGAGTAACCTGGTCCAGTGGAAGGTGTCCCTGGGGGGTTGGAACTAGATGGTCTTTAAGGTCTCTTCTAACCCAAACTATTCTATGGCTCTGTGTAAGAGAATGGAGGAGGAAGTACCAGCACCACACTAAGATCTGTCTGTGCAGGTTTTCGGGTGCTTATGATCTCTGTGTATTGTTTTCACTCACCAGTTTGATATTGTCTCTCTTCCCTTCCCCTCCGGTTGCTGGTTACAGATAGAAGACACACAAAGTGAAAGAGGAAGTGACACAGATCTACCAACCGTCCCAACATCTTCTGTAAGAAGTTAAGAGTTACTGATATTCTAATGTTTCCTAGAAAAACTCAATTTCTGACCTTGCTTACCAAAGACCTTGCATAGGACATACTAGTCTGAACGGACTGTGGGACTTCCCATATGCATGCGGGACCAGAAAGTTCTGCAGTTGGGCATCTTGACTGTTTCTAGGTGGTATTCAGGAGTACCTTCAGCTGATATTTTAAGAGCAGAGACAGGCTACTTTCAGCAACTCTCTATGCCTCACATTTGGACAGCTGCCAAAGACAGTTGCCACTGCTTTGTGACTTTGAAAGCTGTGTCATGTAGCAGGTCTTACTTGCCATGTCACTGAAAAGGATGTAGGACTGAGGTAGAAGGAAAGGCTATTTTGCCACAGTCTACAAGTGCAGGTGAGTGTTGCACCAGGAAGCCTCCATTAAGATGTAAAAGACCTGAGGTGTTAAGGTGAAGAATGGGAAAAGGATGAAAAGAAGTGTCAAGGGGACAGATTTTTCTGGGTTAATTGTCTCAGCATTGTGCTGTGAGAGACTACTCAAATCCTTAATGCTTGTGATTTCAGATGTACGTCCCCCAAGTTTTGCGTCCTCAGCCTACAGAAAGGACAGTGCTTGCCCACCAGGAGCAGCAGTCATATGGCACCATGGATGACACTTATTCACAGGCAGAAGGAGTCATAAGCTATTCTGCTGGACCTGCAGTTCTTGAGCAGGCATCGATCGGTTCGCTTTGAGTGCCGAAGACTAACACAAGGTGGAGCACTTGGTCCAGGTTTAAGAGAACTAATTCCCTGCCACCACCTACTAAGTATTCTGCTTTATTTACGTATTCCTGCCTGCAGAAGAGGTACAGAAATAATTCGTTGTGTGGTCTGCAGCTGTGCTCAGAGATTAAAAAACAGATGCCTTGGGACTGATTGTTTTCCAGACCGTCTACACATGGTGTGAAACAAACGTGTTGAACACAGAGACATTGATCCTCAGGGACTTCACTTATGCTATCTCATCACTTGCCTTATGAAGATAACTTATGCTGCATATAGATAACTGGTCACCAAAGCAAGTGTAGCTATTACAGCTGTCATTTATTTATTAAAAATAATTCTTCCTTTTTAAAAAAAGAACCTTAAAATTTATTATTTATAAACATCTTGGGATGTGTTAAATCCTAAGACAATGTCACTTTTGATGAAATTCTGTTTGCATGGGCACTGAGGATGGTGTGTATGAGTCTCTGCTCTTGTCACCCAAAGTAGTAAGCATAGACTTAACCGTATTACTTAATTTCTTTAAAAGAGATGAGGGAATTACTGTGCACTTAAGTACTAAAAGTACCAAAGCAGAAAAACTGGTATAAAGAAGGGAGTGATTTATTTGATACTGTTTTTATATATTTTTGGAGGGCATTTAGGTTCTTAGTTTCTGTTCACTATTTTTAAGGGCCTTCCACAATGAAAGTTCACCAGCCAACAATAAAGGATGTAAACATTTTATCTTTCTTTTAATCTTGGGTCAAAATGACAGATCTCTGGGTTTTCTCTGTAGTGCCAGTTATATGAGTTGTAAGATACTAAGTTTTTAAATTTATTCCAAAGTGCAATGTGTCAAAGTGTAACCAATAATCACAGAGCAATAAAACACTGAGTTCAGAGAAATTTCAGGCTGTCTTGATTTATTTGTGTATTGAAACAGACCTTTTGCTAGCTGCTTCACAGCATGGTCATGAACTGTTCATGAGAGCACTGCCATGAGCCTTAAAATGACAGTATGTCCCACGAGAAATTAGAATGCTCGTAAGTTCCTCTAGGGGGTGAATATCGGTGACCTTTGGGTAGGAGAAGGTTTTGGCCCTCCCAAGATCCCTGTTTAATTGCTCATTGTTAAACTGTTAGTTCCTGAACTTGACCTTTTCCAGCATGTTTGTGAAGCCGCAATATCTTGAGATTTGAAGGAGGATTTGTGCCATAAATAAAGTGTGCAGATGTTCAGTGTCTTGTAGGACTGCCTCCAGCTTCCCAAGACCAGCACTCTGGACAAACACTGAGCATGAGAGCTGCCCTGCTGCAAGTAGGACCCTGTGGAGCTCCCATCCTGTAGTGGAAGATGCACGTAACTCTTGGTTCTTAAAAGGCAAGTGAGGATCCTTGTCTAGTGGAGGGGCATGGATTTGTGTCAGGCTACTTTATACTCTCACTTCAGTGATGCAGCTTAGTCAGGGGGTTATGTGCATGTGCATTTTGATTTGTAGTAATTGTGGTATTACTAGATGCTGTGTGTATCCTGGGTACACACTGCCAGAGAGGGTTGGTATTCAAGAAGAGAGAAAACCAACAGACTCCACCTGTTTTCTCAGAGTCACACAACGGATGGGAGGTCAGGAGGAGACAGAGCCTGTTGTGTTAGTAAGATCAAAAGTCTGCAATTGTTCTAACTCATTTCCAGCTGCAGTACCCCATCTCATAGAGGTGCCTGCTGCAGCAGTGTGTGCTTGTGTGTGTACTAATTGAGAAGTCAAATAAATGATTCAGCTACCACACTTGACCTGTTTACAGTGCTGGCACTGTGGGACTTTTCTGCACTGTGGTATAACTTATCTTTTTGAACAAGTGACTTTTGATACTCACTGTGAGGTTCTGTAAGTCATATCAAAGACATAAACTCCTTTGGTGACTGGATTTCCCTTTTGTGCTTGGGAGGTTGTTGAACCTTGGTGATAAAGCTCCTTGTGACTGGCACAGGTTCACTACAGGCAGGCCCATCTCTCCTGTCAGCTTGAATATACTCACTTCAGTCATGCTAAGGTGCTTCAGATATAGAATATGGAAAACCTACTAGGCAATGAAAAGCTGAATCTTGCTAAATCAACTATTTAATTGTTTTGGCATTTGAGGAACCAGTTCACATGTCTGGTGGGGAAACCACCAGTGTATTTCACTTACATGTAGCAGCCAATCCTGTTTGCCACTGCAGTCTGTTGCAGTTAAACTCTTAGAAATGTCTGTGATACTGGGACATGCACCAGTTTGAGAAAAGGCCAGGGTCACCTATTAGTAAATTATCACAAGTTCTCTATGTATAGCAACACACAAATTAAAGGCTTGTTTATCATCTTTGCTATGTTGTGCTTGCTTCCCTAGTACCTTTTGGGTCTCTCTCTGAGATCTGGAAGTAATTAGGAACATGCACTGGCTTCAGTTCATTCCTTCATGCTGGTGGATATCTCTAAGAGGATAAAATTAGATCAACAGGAGAAATCCTTGCATTTCTTGCTGAGCCTTAGAGAAAAGCTGAGGGATGAAAGCCTCAACAAATGTGGATATTGGCTGCAGTGTATTTGAAATTCATATTTAAAGCCATGGCACATTCTTTACTGTTCTTTTTATAAATCTTTTGGCAGGAAGCCTAACCAAATGGCCCAGCTGGAGTTACTGATTGTAGCTCCCAGAAGCCATATTTGTTGAGATCCAGCGCCTGCTGCTTGCCTTGCATTGCTCAGTTGGAACAACACCTCCCCCTGCCTTGCTCCTCACTCAGTCCTTCCTTGCATTCTAGCAGCCACCAGAGTGCTCCTGGGGAACAGGAATCCCGGACAAGTCTGGCACTCAAGTGTGAGTAAGCCCTACAGTGTGGTCTTTGATGGGATTCTCTGACAGAACTGAGGGAGCAACCTCTGACAGTTTGAAGAATGAAGCTCATTTGATATTGTACAATTCAGTACAGTTCTGCAAAGTCTTCAGTAGAGGTTATTTTATTCTGTAGTGAAGAAAATGCTACATGGCATGCTGACACTCAAAACCTCTTGGCTTGTTTAAATATGTGGAGCTCTGTGCCAGTTAGAGCTTATTCTGAATGTGAGGCCAATATGGCTCACCTCCAGCCCTGTTACAACACATCCTCAACACCCAAATGTTTGCAATTTCTCATTTGCATTAGATGCACGCGCTCATGCTTTGTTTTCCTTTGTGCTTTTCCCATATCCTGAGCCAAAAGCACATCTTTGTACTGGCTGAGTTTCCAAATGCTTCAGTGTAGCACTAGACCATGTTCTTTCTGTCTCTACAGAAATCCAGTTCCCAGCTCTGCTTACCCACAGATGCTGTGGCAGCACAACTGAAACCTTTCTCATGTCTCTTCTGTGGACAGGTAGTTCATGAGTGTTTGGAAGCTTTTTACTGTTCTGCTCCTCATGAAGGTGAGCTTGTCTTAGAAGTAATGTACCACAGAGTTTTCTCTTAGCACAAGTGAGGTGAGAGGCACAGGAAGATTTGGGGAAGGGCTGTCTTTTTCTGTCACTAATAGAAGCCCAAATCCATTGAGTACAAAGAAAAGACATGCTTTATTGTCTCTAAACTGCAACAATATAAGGAAATACACACTTTTAATTCCAAATGATGGCCAGAGTCATGTGTCTTATCTCCTTAAAGTGGTCTTGCAAATTCCTTCTTTGTCTTATCTAGACAAAACTTATTGAATGATTCTGCTTGTCACCTGTCTGTAACAGCTGCAAGTGCCTGTTTCAGTTATTTCAGAGGTACAGAAGTTGAGTTTTTTCTTTCTGAGGACAGCTGCCTGATGGGTAAAAGCAGAAAGGACCAAAAGTGGAGACTGAAGATTGGGTCATTATAATGATCCATTCTTCACTTTAATCTTTTTAGTCCTTAGGTTAAGAGCTCCTGGCTCTTGCTTTATATCCCATATCCTATTGGTTAGGCCATAGCATCTCAGCTGCAACAAGTGCAACTTCCCAAATCTTTTGTGCTCAAACACAGAGCTCCTGGGTTATCTTCACTTGTTCTTTGTCAGCGATCTGTAACAATTTGTAGCTTGGAGTGAATGATCAGCTGTCTTTCTAGTGCATGTACTATATAATTAGCTTTTAATTCTCTTGATTTGTGACCCCATGAGCTAACTGGTGTAGTACACAAAGCTGCTTCTCCCTACTCAATGTGCCTCCATTACTAATATCTTCCAACCAGGAGCCTGCAGTCTCCATTACAGGATGACCCCTGACTCCTGGTTGAAAGCAAACATTGCTTTCCTGGAGGAGGATTTATTTCCTTCTGTAGCAGTTTATTTCCTGCCGTTCCAGTGTAACGTGCATCTGAGCTTCTCACTTCTGAATGGATTCAAAGTTCCACCTCATGACTTTCAACTTTTATGACTAGTGAAAAGTGATATTCCATGTGTTAAGTAAAAATTTCACCAATTTAACAAGTTAAATGTATTTTCAGCTTGAATTCTGGATGGAATTCTCTTTTTACTAAAATTCTGGTTTGGAAATGTCTACTGATAACAAAGTTTGTGCTCTGCAGCAGTCCAGAGCTTCATTCCATCTTTTCTATCACATATTAGGGAAATGATATGTGATATATATAACACATTGTTTTAGGGCATTAAAACACTTTTATTTTCTAGACTGTAAGCTGATTGATTAAGCTTAGATCTTGAAGTAAAACAGCTTTTTCTGAGAAGTCATAGAACAGTGGTTTCAAGATCTGATATCTCTGAACATTCTGTCCTAGATCTGTGTGTGATATTCATGTGGAAATGGGTGGGACTGTAAATAGCTAAGTGGAGTGGGAAATTTTCCTATCTGCTCCTAGACTCAGTGGTTAACTAGGTGCTGGTTATATTTAATGAAGGCACTCTTCTCAAAAATGGTGTTTAAGATAGAGTTCTAGAAGTCCAATGTATGGTATGTCATGAGGTACTCCTAAATAAAACAGGAGCCAGA